TATGTTTTTAAATTTTCTACCATTCATTACCAAAAAATCTACTTTAAGCGCCACTGTATCTGATATTGCTTTTGTTTTTGAAAATTCACGAAGTAGTTCGGCTAAATGTTTTCGAAAAGAGAGCGCAACACGCATAAAGAATGTTTAGCATTTCTGCTTAACAAGCTGAGAGCCTACAAAACTATGTGCTTGTACACAAATACATACATAAAAGCCAAAAAATAATATACATATGTATATACACGTTGCATCTAGCCAATTTACCTACAAAAAAATCAAAATAAATATATATATACATACATACATACATACATATGTATATTTAAAAAAAAAAAAAACATATGAAAGAATTTCATCGGTATTTCGTCAACACAATTGTTTTTGCTCTTATTGAGACTGTAAATTGACAATCCATAAATCGCTTTTGGAGGCGCTTAGCAATAGATAGGTGCCGCTGAGWGCTAACCCCTGCTGGGATTTCACTTTTATTGTTACTACGTGCGTGATTAGTCGCATCAGGGAAAAGTTGTTTTTGTTTACATACCTATGTCAGACAGTACAAGTATAGTATATGTGCAATTCTGCAAGTATCTATTGGAATGTGTCCTCTCTCTTGATGGCAGACGCGTTGCTAGACAAGAATTCTCGCACCGGTAAACCGAAAATTATGTGAAAGCCGCTAATGTTATAAAAATATAGAGAGAATTCGAAAATTTTCACATTTTGACATACGCTCGTCACATAGCTTAAAAATAATTATATGCTACTCATACTACTGATAATATACATATATACATATATCTACATTATATGCCTACTCGGATGCCTACTCGGATGCATATTCGGTGTTTTGATATCTCCCGAAATTTTATTAAAAGTTTGGCACACCCCCTTGATATCTTCATTTACGATTTGATTTTATTTGTTTACATTACTCCATCGCTGTTTGGGGTTGAACATATTTTAAATAATTTGAATATATCGAAAAYTTATGTGTGGATAAAATTGTGGCTATTACACATCCAAGTTTAATGTGGATGTGAAATTAGTCCGGCAGATGGTGAATAGGTTCTCCGAGCTTTCAGTTATGGAAGCAATCAAAATTTTGATTTTTTTTATTAAAAACAAATAACGAGGAATAAATTTTTGATCTCAAGGTTGCTTATTGGGAGGTTTATTTTGTATCTGCAATAAAATTGCTTGGGTCAAAGAAAATTTATATTGTTTGAAAATTATGAAATGCTTTTCCCAAATCTGTCTGCGTGTTTTTTTTGGYTTCGTGTCGTTTTTTCTCTCCATTCCGATGATTGTTGACTTGCTAGCATGTCAGACGGATAAGCCCATGTTTCATCGGCAGTTATAACAGTCTCCATGAATGTGGAATCGGAATTCGTTGGATCAAGCATGTCCAAAGAGTACAATTTACGGTACTCTTTTTGAAAAAAAAAAAAATCAGTTTTGCAGTTATCTTATATTCCCTTACAAGTGAGAAAAAAGCGATTTTGTGAATAGTTTTTGTTTGAGATTGTAAATTTTTATTTAAGAGATTTTTCACATTTTTCATACATACTAACATGACAATTTAATGAACTTCGTATTCGGCGATTAATTTTGAGGAGTTTAGAATCCATCGCCGATTTCCGATAATTATTATAAAAAATCTGGTTTTTTCGATCACTACCTAATTAATATACCTAAGAAGATTATGTGAAATTTTCAAGTTGGACCGACCGTCCAATCTTTTCGGAGATAACATTCTTACCTACTTTGAAAATCGCGTCTCGAGAAAAACTCGTTTAAATCTGCAGTGTCGATTTCACTAGGATAAAAAAAAATCTTGGAAATAAGCTCGTATCTCCGAAACTAGTTTTGAAATTCAYATGTGGATATTACCCCTTAAAAATCTTAATTTTAAATATATTTGAACAAAAAATAACGTATATCTATGAATACAATATGTCTCAAAACTCCTTTGCAATTGAACTGCTGAAATATAAATATAAAACGTACATATGCACATGTAATGTGTGCAGACTTTACGAACCGCGAGCTTTCCACCATAAATGGTAGCTAATATACATATATTCTTATTTATAGACTTTACAATACATGCATACAAGCACATAACGGAAATGTGTACTTGACATGAGAAAAGCGCACACATTTCCTGTCCGTTTGTGAGCTTTCAACAATTCACCATCCCCAATGAAGGATCTTCACCCCTTGTGCATATGTGTTTGTGTGWGTGAATTGATGTGTTAATTAAACTCAAAAAAGTGTTGCGCTTGCGCATCATTTACCACCTGTTTCATAGTTTACCGGACCATTGTGGTATTAGCACTGCTGAACTGTACATACATATAGAAATATGTGCTTATATATGTACTGGTTAATTTAGAGTACATGCCATACTTGCTATCGTTTGCATGTATGTTACTGTTATACACATTCATTGATGCCGTCACATACAAACATATATACATATATGTACATTTATGATTTCTGTATGCTTGTATGCGTTACATTGTGTTGCATGCAGCAAATGTGTTAAGTGTTGAGCATTGCAACCACTTGTCGCCACTATTCAACCTTGCTGTCGTCGCCAGTTTCGACTATAAAAGCGGACAATCCAATGGGCATTTTTGCATTCGTACAAATGTCACGGTCGGCTTAGGACCACAGTTCGGTGGAGAACAGCTCAAAAGTGTTAAAGTTGGATMAAATTGAAAGTTTATAAAAATAAGTCTTAAGTGCTTAAAATACCTAAATATATATAAACTTTTCTTTAAAAAAGTCTAGCAAATGCTTTGAAAAAAGAACTAACGGTTAACATTTAAATCAAAATTATTTAAATTAAAATTTGTTTCTCATTCGAAATAATAATTTATCCAAATGTGCAACGTTTTACGGTTTTTGAGAATTTTGTACACCTTACGCAACATTGTGTGATTTATTTCTGGTAGTAAAATTTATGTATATTTGACAATAGTGCGATGTGCATAAAAGCGACATACTGAAAATGCTTCCAGAATAGCTAAAATTTGACGTTAGAAAACAAAGGTAAATTTTGTTTGCAATTTTGTGGTTTTAATGTGGTATTTAATAGTTTTAAGCGAGCAGAAAAAAACACTAAAAATAATTAAAAGTAAGATATTTCTCATTTATAATTCAAAAGTATTATTTCTCTTTCACACCTCAACAATATTATTATGTTTTTTATTTCATAACTAAATTTTTTTTTTAATTAAAATTCGTTTTTACCACCTAGGTGAAGCATATCGCCGTTTTATTTCAAATTCATATCACAATTTTATTTTGATTTATATTATTTTTATAAAAGTATAACAACATTTTCCAAACTAAAACAGAAAT